TTTCCTGGCCTCTTGACTGATTGCACCCTGGCATAAATCCCCTGATCTCATGGTATCCCACTATGGATTTCTCAAACACCTGAACTTTTCTACTTCATGGTCACACCTTTCCTTGGCCTGGAGCCTCTCCCTGTCTATTCTCTTCGTGATCTACCACATTCATATTTGCAGATTAACTCACCTACTCCTTTCTCCATGGAAGTAGAACATGAGCCCTTATGTGCCCAATGGGAGCTCCCATTCATCTATCATACTGTTCCTTGGTGGTGCTCCATGGAAAGAGATGCTTATAACTGAGAAACTTTCTCAATGATTCCTAACTTTCCTTTCCTTTCCCTCAGATCACCTCATAAAGCTCCTCAGGCAATGTGATATCTCCCTGAGATGGAGAGGCTGCACGCCTCGGCTTTGATTTCCCCGGGAGGACTCATCAGCCCAGTACTCGTTATCCAACACATCATAACTACACCACTTCATAGGGCAGTAAAATATTACTAATAAATTGACCAATTATACAATTAGCTCCCCTTAATCATGCCTCCCTGGTTAATCCTAGCAACTCTTTTGGTGGAATCTCTTAGTCAGTCTTGCTGATTTTTGGATGGCAAAATCCAAAAATGATTATGAAGTGAAGGTGAAAAACTAGGGAGTTTCATGATGAAGGTTGATGAGGCAGATGCTGGGGAATTCTGAATCACAGGCAAGATAAACGCGTGTCAGCAAATGAAGACTAGGTAATTGAGAAATAGCAAATCAAAAATGATAATTAATGACATGATAGGTGCTTTTAGAGAGAATGATTTGAAGAGAACTGATTAAGAGATGCTTAAGGGAAAGCTGGTGGAACCTGTGTGTTCTTATAACTCTCTTTATGATCCCGCTATGAAAGTCAAACAGGAAGTGAAAAGTATTATGTCATGCTGTTACATAATTTGTTTGGTAAGATTATGCCCACACCCTCCAGCACCACGTGTAACTTTGTTCTATGAATTGGTGCATGGTGTAAATGTAAACTATGTCTTGTTAAAATAAAATGAAACACATTTATTTTCAAGATGTTTGGTTTTATTTTGTAAGATGGAGACAATATTTTATTTTATTTTTTTTTAAAGATTTTATTTGTTTATTTGACAGAGAGAGAGAGAGAGTGCACGCACGGAGAAGCAGGCAGAGGGAGAGGGAGAAGCAGGCTCCCTGTAGACCAGAGAGCCTGATGTGGGGCTCGATTCCAGGATCCTGAGATCATGACCTGAGCTGAAGGCAGATGCTTAACCAACTGAGCCACCCAGATGCCCCAAGACTTAATGTTTTAGATCTTCATCTTTTCTAGGAAGTTTTGGCCCTTATTTATGAGAGCTATTTGAATTTGTCCTTTTCCGGTATCAGTTTACTTCAAATAGTAAGCACCTCCTATAGTTACTTGGCAGGAAACATCTTGCCGGCATGAACCCTGTCTTCATTCTTATATTTACAGTATGCAGTCCATATTCAAGGGAGACTGAATGAAGGGGAAGCTAGTTAAAATGAATAGTGAATGTAAAAGTTAGGTTGGTTTTCTTTGCTTGGAAGGGTGCTGAGAATGGGATTCTCTTGGGCTTAAGAAAAGAAGCCTTGGTTTCCATAACCTTGGCTACCAAATCAAGAAAAGGACACTTTTTTAATGTCTATTTCTTACATTTGTTGTATGTTACCAGTTAAAATTCCTCATAGTCAGCATCTCCTGGGTAGCTCAGATGGTTGAGTATCCAACTCTTGGTTTTGGCTCAGGTCATGATCTTAGGGTCATGAGATCTAGCCTACATTGGACTCTGAGCCCAGCAGGGAGTCTTCTGGAGATTCTCTCTCTCCTTCTCCCTCTGCCCTTCCCCCGACTCGTGCACATGCACAACCGTCCGCACATGCAAGCTCTTTCTCTCTCTCTCTAAAAATAAATGAATAAATAAATAAATCCTAAATAAAATAAATTCCTCATGGTCAGGATCTGTGTTGTGTTCTGAATATTTGTGTTCCTGCTAAATCCATATGTTGAAATCCTAATGCTCTATGTGATGGTATTAGCTTAAGGTAGGGCCTTTGGGAGGTACTTAGGTCATGAGGCTGGAGCCCTCATGAATGGGATTATTGCCTTATAAGAAAGGCTCCAGAGAGCTCCCTAGGCTCTTCTATCATGTGAGAACACAGCCAGAATGTGCTGGCTATGAATCAGGAAGACGACCCTCACCAGAGAATGTGACCATGCCCATGCCTTGATCTTGAACTTCCAGCCTCTAGAACTGTGAGAAATAAGTTTCTATTGTCTATAAACTACCCATTCTGTGGTATTTTGTCACAGCAGACCAAAGGGACTAAGACAGCCTACTTTGTTTTAATCTTCACTGTGCCATCAATGCATTTTTCTGTATGCAGGACAGAAGATGCTCCAGGTGGTGACTAACTTGCTTGGGCAAAAGGGAATTACTCAGGTAGGCTCATGGGCACAATCTCAAGATTTGAAAAAGGACAGAAAATTCTAGTTCTTATTTATTTACTTGGGAAAAGCAAGCATCTACATTTTATGGTTGGTGCATTAGGATAGCTCAATCTCTTTGAAAAGAATGTTTGTTTCTCATTACCAACCCAACCTCTATGCTTTGGATTTTTACCTGAAACTAGTAGCCAGCTTGAAGACTTCCAACCATGACTTCATTGCCAGGTGTAGTGTTCTCTATAACTGGGCTGATTATTGCACATAGCCAAGTGGGCCGAATTGCTCCAAGGTTTATATGCACCATAAAATAAGATGTTTTCTTAATATTTTACTAGGGAAAAATTCAAACAAAACCAAAGTGGAAAGACTAGTATAAGTGTCCACATATTCATCACATAGCTTCAACTATTCTTAATACTTTGCCACATTTGCTTCCTCTGTTATCCTCCCTTCCTTTCTTTTCTTCCTTAAGAAGTGTATTCTATTCATTTATCACTCCATCCTCACTTCCGAAAAGATCAAGATCAGTTATGCTTTAGAAAACCCATGTTTTAGAATTTTCTGCCTGATTCCTTGTAATGTTATTTAGCTTGATTACAGTTTTGCTCTATTCTGGAGAGGAGGTGTCAGTGTGTCCTTCACATTGCATCATTTTAGGAGACGCACAATGTCTGTTGTCCTGCTTTCCATGATGCTAAGACAGTATGATCTGTACATTATGAAATTTCCCATCTTCATCAAATGGGTTCATCCTTAATGATCTTTACTGAACCTATTTTCTTTGGTTTCAAAATGATGATTTTTCTTTTTTCTTTTTTAAGAATTTTCTTTACTTATTTGCCAGAGAGAGGGAGAGAGACGAGAGAGAGCACAAGCAGGGGGAGTGGCAGGCTCCCCGCTGAGCAAGGAGCCTGACGCAAGATTATCCTAGGACCCTGGGATCATGACCTGAGCTGAAGGCAGATGCTTAACCAACTGAGCCACCCAGGCGTCCCTCAAAATGATGATTTTTCTAATTCTGTCATTCTTTTCAGATTTATTAACTGAGATTCTTTTCGAACAAAACTTTTCCTTTATCGGTGGGGCCACTTGATTACCCTGAAATGCAATTCTTACAGGAAAGGCAAGATAAACACTCAGTTCCTTATTTTTTATTGCCAACTTTTGGTGTAAGAAGTTGGTGTCCTGGGCGCCTGGGTGGCTCAGTCGTTAAGTGTCTGCCTTTGGCTCAGGTCATGATCCCAGGGTCCTGGGATCGAGCCCCGCGTCGGGCTCCCTGCTCGGCGGGAGGCCTGCTTCTCCCTCTCCCACTCCCCCTGCTTGTGTTCCCTCTCTCGCTGTGTCTCTCTCTGTCAAATAAA